AGCACAACATTGTTGGGCTGAATATCATTTGGGTCATTAGAATACAAATCGTTCAATCGATTGTTGTAGTAGAAGATGTGTCACAAGAGTGACTCTTTAGTTGTCCCATTTCGAATGTTGCCATCGGAATGTTTACAAGCCCAATAATTTATTCGGTGACTGCTTTTTTCCCTTCAAACAACGAAATTCATTCATCTTGTTGAAGGATTGGCTTTTGCTGTGTGCAGAGCACATAAATTTCAAGTGTTACATTATCAAAATGTGGCAACCAAATGACGAAGCCGATGATGATAATCGAATAGAAGAAAAAACGGGTACAAACAGAGAACACGAGCAATTTTGCATAAATTTAAAACTTTTAAACATTTGAGATCTGTTGAAAAGTTTAACATTTCGGCTATATTTCGCCCAAAATGATGTAAAGGACGGCTGAAAGCAGTCGACGAAGAGAGAAAATAGCAATTCAAGTCGAACCTCCACGAAGTGATTAGAAAAATAGAATATAAAATTCACACGTTTCGCACAACATTTACATGTTTAGTTCTATGTTTTTTTTTCTTTGTCGATGAAATAAAACAAAAAACCAGCGACGAGTAAAGAGAAAACGAATATTCGAAAAATAAACTGGACGAATGGAGTGAATGGAGGCAGGAAAAAATGTAATAAATTATAGCAAACGGCTTTTTTCGGCGTTTTCCACTGAAATGGCTCTTAATTGGATCCATATATTTGTCTGTTTTGGACGGAAGCATCTATGCGTCAAATCAACATAAAATCCCGTTATGTGGAGCTAAAATGTTGCGACTCAATTTTGAATCGAAAGCGAGAAAAAACACCAAATTCAATTTGTGAAGAAATCATCCGATTTGACCTTAACCATTCGTCTCAATTACCAAAATATTCGTTAAGTTTTTCTTTCGGGCAACAGCTACAACGAGAGGAAAAAAACTGCAAACTGATAAACAAAGTGCATCATCGAAACAGCAACTCCATTAATCACTGATGAAAGGCACAGCATAAAAGAAAACAGCGATTAATCAGAAAAGTATCAAAAGCAGTTTGCAGAATGAAAAACAGTACAAAAGGAACCATTTTTAATATAATATAAAGGTTCAATTCGCAAAAGAGATAGAGCGCGCAAGAGCAGCACAAAAGAAGGATGAAAAAAGAAACACACACACACACAGCACACACCGACCAAATCGAAAATTGTTGGCAATTGTTCTGCGCCGCGCGCTTACGATAACCATATATTTATGAAATCATTATTGCGCATCATTGGCGGTTGCATTAATCCGCTGAATAAGCGAAATTGTGGTCCAAACCATCACAGCCATCTCTCATCGCAGCACAAACAAAAGGGAGTTAATCCAATCCAACAGGAATTGGAATTAAGCAACAATCGAACATTACTGACCTTTTTCTGGTTAGTCGCTCTGCTGGCTGATTGTTGCTGTTGTTATTTTTTGCTTCATATCTGCGGTCGATTCAAACAATGCATTGAATGTGCAGGCAATCAGAGATTGCGAATAAACAAAGGATGAATCTTCGGTTGTTGTTTTTTCTTTCGTTTCATTCTCCCTTTTGCATCGATCTCTTTTTTCTGTTTATTTTCACGTTTTTTTTTCTGTTTTCTTCTTCTTCTTAAAAACTCTATCAAATTAACTAGATGCATTCACTTTTCGAAGTGCTTGCGATTTGAGTGTGTGTATGTAGAGGGAATGAACGAGAAAAACTCAATATTCTAAAGTTCGATGCCGTACGCGAACCTTCTGCTCTGTTTGCTTATTTAATATTACAAGATCGATGGAGAAAAGAAAATGTAAATGTGCATCGCAGTAAACGCGAGTGCATAAGATATTCTTTTATCTCGTTGCACGTGTGCATAATAAATGCTAAGCCATTTATTTGTTCCTTTTGTCCAGTGTTTCCACCACAATGAGTTCACCATTCGCGAATGCGTTTAGCATCGTTTCGATTGAAAAAAAAACGAAATTTTCGGCGCTGCGCATCAATAAATAAGGAGCAATTCAGGCACGCTGTCGATCGATAAGTGGTAAACGCGCAACACACAACGAAAGGCGAAATTCTATCTCAGCTCGAATACGATACCGTTTCCATTTTGTTTCTACAAAAGAACAAATGAATACGCTGTGGATAATGAAAAATGATTGAACACAGAATGAACATATGGATAATGCAGTTCGCGTGTGTTTGTGTGGGTTCACTTTATAATCGGCTAGTGTGTGTGTGTGTTTCTTTTTTCTTCTCTTCTTCGGTTTGTGCTTGATCATCTCTTTTTCTCGTTACACCGTCACCGTGTAACATTTCTCGCAAAGCATCCGAGCTATGCAGTGCGCGTGCAAGTACGGTGTTGTTCATATGCACTCAACTGTGCCCACGCATCATGTTTAGTGCTGTGTTTTTCTTTTATCACATCGACTTTTCATTTGGTCTGTTCACATGAACGAACGAAACAAGACTCGTTGAGCTGTCTTGCCATTTCTCTTCGATACTGACAGAACCATATTTACTGCAGCTGCAAGTAGACACATACACACACACACACTGGCTTATTTGTCCAGAGATGTGAAAATGGCGAAAAGTACTAATTATCACCGTTCTCTCATCTCATATTTCTTCTTGAGTGCAATCGTAATAGCACTGGATGCCTTGCACAAAATCATCTTCATATCACTGAAATGTTTCGTTTTGGCCAATGCTCAGAACAAACAACTTGATTAGAGAGATTGATACGAACACACAAATATGTAAAATGGTTGACATCTGCGTTTGATGCGAACATCCTGCGTGTTTCGATTTACTGCACGGCTCCGAAGAGTGGGCATTCTATCAGTTTGACGTAAACATTTTTCTACAATTTTTCTCGCTCTATCATCCACAAGTGGCTGTACAAAGCCGTACGCTGTAGAATCTGACCAAATTGGAATGGCGATGTCAAGTGTCCCTTTAGGTAGGTGTTAACTGAGTGAAATAAACAATGTTTGACGAAACAACATTTCTAGGATTGTAATTTTTAAGGCCAACTCTTTCAAACATTTGTTTTCTGAGAACCTTCGCCACTTTATGCCATATAGCATGAACAAATGACAAATCACGTACGATGCACACATCTTCGCATTTGCCATTTCATAAATGTTTGTTTTTTTTTGGTCGGTCGATGTTCGTGTCATTGACTTAGCAGAACCAAACGAAAAAAAAATCTTCACGTCATAATAGATCTTCTGGAAGAAAAATGCCGTGGTTTGAGAGAGAAAAACAAGTCAGTGATCTTTAACCCAGCACTGGCATAAGTCTTCGTCACTGTGTGTGGCTCTGAAAATGAGCCAAAAATTATTTGTCCACGGGCCCATTCGTGCACATTTTTTCTCTTCTTCTTCTTCTGTTTCCTCTCTTGTGCCCTTTCTGTGTGTGTCTCTCCCAAAAAAATGGATTTCTCAGTATATGCCAATGACTAATGACTCAAATTCATTTTGATGAATTTATCCATGCTTTTACCGTCTAATAATCATTGTCGTAATGCCTTTTCCACTCACAATTAAAACAAATTACGTTTGACATGCTTTGCGAAAGGTATTGCAATTGAAAATCGGAGCAAAATTCCGACGAATGCTTAAGCATTGTAGTTGGCTCTCGATCAAAGCCATTTTCAATGAATCAATTTCAAGAGAATGCGCTTACAGCAAATTGTCGTCTTAAAGTTTTCCCTTTTCTCTTTATAAATTGGGATCGTTTGTCTTTTCAGGCCATTTCGTAAGCGCTTACAATAGACGAAAAAGAAGTTCATTTGGCATAACCAAAAACGATAACAAAACGAGGGAACAAAAATGATTATAAAAGACAATTGAATATTTTTTCGTCTCATTTTTTTTCTCTGTTTTGCCGTTGATTGTTTCCTTCAACGGAGTTGGCGCTCGTGAAAATATGTGCGGAGAGACAAAAGTAAATGAAGGCAAGCGCAAAAGTCAACAGTGTGCCAAAGAACGGGTTCAAGTTGCCAAGGCGCATAATATCACAAAATGTATGATTTCGATATACATATATACTACTTATATGCGCGAACTGTGTGTGTGCGCGCGCGCTGGCTGGGTCGCGCTCCGTTTTTGCATTTATTGAATAAGTTATTTGTGCGGGGCTCGTTTGTGCATTACTCTCTTGCAGCCAAATTGCGGTTGCAGTCAAACGTCACACGGGCACGGTGCACATAAAACATTAAACGATATTCGAATAAATTTTCCGCCGTGGTCATATATTACAACTTTTTTCCCTCTCGTCTCTACATGCATTTAAAACAGCAGCAGCAACGGCAACAAACCGTCTCGTAACGGCTTTTTTTAATGTGATTAAGCACGATCAAATTTTGTCATTTTAATTTTATTGTAGATTTAGTTTCTCTTGTTGTACTATTTGATTTTTTTTTATTTCTCGTTCATTCTGTGCCCGGTGTTGTTGCTGCTGCTAAATTGTCACGATCACGTTGTCATTTTTCCTACGGATTTTTGTTCTCACATGTTTTGTGTGTGTGATTCAGTCGTTTGGAAATGCATTCGAAAAATTATATTTTATTTTTGTCATTTTTTTTCCATCGTCGATATTGTTGTTGGTTTTGGTTTTTATTCATGCCATCGAATTTCGATTTCCTTGTTGTACTATATTTACCAATTCTTGTATGATCATTTAGTTTGTGTCTTGCGGGCGTTATTTTGAAAGATTTTTTTTCTTTGCGCGAACGAAACAAAAAATCACAACACGACAAAGTTGCATGCAAGCAGATGCATACCGTCAGTATGTCAGTTTTACTTCGTTGTTGTTTTTTTTTTTGACTTTTTTCAGAAAAACCTAACGGCAGTTTACAATCAAAAATTTGCATGAAATATACCAAATTGACACGGTAATTGCGATGAACTTTATAGTTTATGAGGAGAGAGAATGAAAATAGAAACAGAAAAATATGCTTCGATAAATGTTTGAGTACTTACTTGCAGTATGAGTCGCCTTTTGGTTTCGATATGCACTGACCACCATTCTTGCATGGAGATGGAGCACACGATGTAAATCCTGAAATGGTAAGAAATTAAGAAATTAGCAAATGTTGATCACTTATTCTTTCAATTGTCTGTGTTAATTTCACGATTGTCTGCAGAGGAAAAAGCAATGACCCACGGATTAAAATGCAATTTCGTTGGTAAACGATATTTTCCAATGTTTAAGACCCTGTATTTCATTCAACTACAATCTGAATTGTGCGCTTCTTATGAGCACTGTGCATAGATCATGAAACGATCAGTTGAAAGTTACATGGTCAATGGTCGTAAAACATTTGAAGGTTCAAGTTTCGCATGGTATTCGCCCGATGGCAATATGTTCTATTGTGAAGGAAGTGGCGAGCGATTGGCTCTTATACGACTCATTTGTTAATCTGATCTAATTCATACGAAACAACGTGCATTTTGTTGAGTCTCCAAAGTTCCGACCAGAGGGAGAGAAAAAAAACTGCACATTCAAATGAAATTGATACTTTTCGATTTATCTCTCGTAGGCAAGTTGCATTTGAAACGAAGAATAATATCAATTGGTTCACGATTCGCCAATAAATTTCGAACCATATCAAAAGACATTTGGAGTTGCGATGCATGTGTGCTGATCGCTGTGTGCACAGTACAGCAGTAAATGAGTTGCATCGAATCGCCGAAGAAGCGAATTAATTCGATTAATTTTAATTGAAATACCTCCCAAGCGGTACGCTATATTACTGCAAGCGAAAAATCACCTCTTTTGCTCGTAGAAAAGAAATCATTGGACATTTTGCCTATTCCCTGTGTTTAGCCTTCCGATTCGGATTACTCTAAACATCTTGTCGCATCTTGCAACTCGAGATGTGGAAAACCGAAACCGAAAATCGATATACGCGTGATGTTGCGCTCTGCCTTTCCAACGACAGGGACAATTGAATCAGCGCGCGCACACCAAACAGAAGCGAAACGTTTCGGTTTTGAAGATCGCGCACGAATTGAAATCGGAATGTCGCATAATGAATAGACGAGCGCATCGTACCATCGAAAGAAGAAGAAATAGAAAAAATAAACCCGTTGCACGTTCCACAACACACATTGCATCGGCTCATTTCATATGGATGCTTTGCATTTTCAAACTGTCGTTCCGCATTTTATGTAATTAATTAGATCAGATATGGCTTTTATTTTGCTATTTCATATGATTATTTGCCATTTCTGTTTATTTCTCGGGTTTTTTTCTTCATTTGTTGCTGCTCTGGGAGATAATTGTCGATGCGCGATGAGCAGCCACTTAAAGCTGATCCGCTTGAAACATTGTTAGAGTTGAACAAATAAACACGAACTGTTTAAAGAAATAGCTATCGCGGGAAATAAATCAGTTTGACTATTTATTCTTGACTCAAAAAGTGCTCACACACAAAGAGTTGCGACTTTTCTTGATGGAAACAATTCTTTTCATTGAAAATCGACATTTACGACTTCTCTATCAAGGAAATTTGTCCAATGGCCGTTGAATTCGATAAATAGAAACACACATACGTATGCCTATTACTGCAAATGCCACAAATTAGTCAGAAAACACAAAATGTGTACTTTTTTTTCTGAAACAAGCTCCACATAAAAGTGCAATTGTTTGTTTCCATTTAATTTTTGTTTAATTGATTCCGTTTGTCGAGATAAAGTTGTGGTAAATTTATTGCTGCGCTGGTTGTTTTGTCTTTTGCAACAATATTGAAATGGAAAACTGTTTGGGCGTTCAAATGCATGTCACAAACTAAATTAGTGTGATTCGGTTGAAGGGAACATTCTCGATGACGTAATTATCATCGAGGTAAGAAACGAAAGAAAAGCGCAATCAATTTTGGATTTACCTAGCTAATACTTTCACACAGTCGTCGACGCAAGCAACCAAATACGACGAGAGAATACCGAATGTGTCCATGTGAATTAAATTTTCGGATTGTTTATTAGTTGGCATCGAGCAATTGACGTGTTGATTGAAAAATGTTTATGTGCGCGCGCGGTGCGCTCTGTGCACTGGGCTGGATTTGGTTTGTTCATTGAATATTGAAACAATTCCGTACACGTAATTTATTATGTATTACACATACGCTCCCATAAAGACGTTGATTTCTGAAAACGGCATACATATATATATAAATTCGGGCCGCCTTTCCTCACTCTCCGGCATCAACAACAAACCATTAAAAAAGCAAACAATTTGCGCACGGAAAAACAACATCTCAACAACAGCAAAATAAATAAGAAGGCATTCGAGCGCTGTGACTTTCGAAATGCTCCCAAGTGTTGATTAATACCGAATGAATGAATGAATGAATGAATGAATGAATGAGCGAGCGAGCGAACGAGAGTGTCTGGTTGCGAATAATGAAAAGCCAAAGTGCACGTTAAAGCCATCTCGAGCTGCCGATCCGAAAACATAATCCATAAATTTTCTTCATATCTCTGCGGCATGAGCACATACGACCGCGGATTGCTGACGCATTTGAATGACATTTGATGTGAAAAGTAAACGAGCGCGAGCGCAAATCTAACGGGTATATCGGACGCGACGGGCTATGCATTACTTGATGAAGTGCTAAAATATGCAATTTCATTTGTAACATTTAACAAAAGAAAATCCACCAAGCCGTCGATTTCGAACGAACAGGCAGTGTGCGGAAAGAGAGAAATATCTTCATACGACTTGGAAATTGTTATAACTTGTTTGTTCAGTTGAAACACAGGTGGCTTCGAGGCTCTCTCAATTAATATCACGTCGCATCGAAACAAAAAAAAACACATCACATGAGCAGAGAAGGGGAAGGACCTATTAAACGATTGACTGACGCATAAGTTTACTTAAAATGCACTGTTAATACTGATTTTTGTTTTCTTCTTCTGTGTTTTTCTTCTCTTTGTCTGTAATTCTTTTCCCACTTCGGTTGAGCTGTTTCTCATCGCCAGTCACACAGGCACAGTTTTTGGCTTTGTTTGTGTACTTGACACATGATTGTTTCGATGCATTTTTTTCCTCCATCGTTTGCTTGATATTTTTTTCTTTCGGTTTTCCATCAACACCGTATGCATTTAAAATTGGTATAGTTGCACATAATAAGACGACATATGCACTATCCGTCTCTGTCGGTACAGAAAAGAGAAGAGCGGAGAAGAAAAAAAATGCAACGTAAAACGTGTTGTGTGTATTTATGAGCCCAAGTGTTATGAATCGAGATTTTTAATGAATCGACAATTCGAATGCCATCCCATAACTGATATATTGTTACATGAGTGTGTTGCGTACACACTCAAATATGATGTGCTTCGGTCACATTCACCAATCAGCCTGAATATGGTATTTTTTGCTGTCGTTGTCGTTGCTGTCGACGTTAGTTCGATTCCATTCTATCTTTCTCTTTTTTCCATGTGACACACTGTGTCTATTTTTTTCTTCAGCGCCGACGATAGAAATGTATCGTCTTTTTCCTTGATTCGAAAACCGCCCGAGCACTTATATCGTATCACCCGCTTTCTGTCGCCACTCCACATTCGAAAGAAAGCGACAGAAAAGTGACACAAAATCATATGTATGTATATAATAAGGGAAACGGGAAGTGAGACCAACGAAGAAGAATAAATTGGAAATATAAGTTTGTAGGAAGAAAAATAAAGATGAAGAACACACACACACAACAACTTTATGAGAAAATGAATTATGTGAGCCGTTATGAAAAAAACAACAACTCTGTATGCATTCGTCATTGTGCGATCTACGCCGTGGTTGTCGTTGTCTTTGCTGTTGTTATTGTGCTGATGAGGAGGCAGTTGCTTAATTAAAATATCATCTTCATCATTCGTGCTATTCAAATTGTCAATTTGTCGTTAGTAATTGTTGTTTGTGAGATTGATGTCGGCTCTCTAGTGCGAGAGCTAATCTTGGGAAATGTGATCGATCGGAAGCGACAAGTAATTCCACTGCCTCTACACTGATTCATTATTCAGCTAGTAGAGTCATTTTGACGGTTCAAATTACTTTATTAGGAAGTCAAACCGTTCATTTTCAGTAGGAGTTTTTCGATTTTTCTTCGTAATTTTTGTTGTTGTTTTGTTTTTGTTCTTGCAAACATATGTGAACGACCATTACTCATAATATCTCGCTTGACACAACGACACTCGATGCGTTTTTCTCGTAAAAATGAAACATTTTGACATGATTCTAAACACTTGTTCTTGGCTCGCCACACATGTTTCACTTCGTTTTGCCATGTCTGTATTTTCGCCAATGATTTCTGTTGCCATCAACATGTTCGCTTATGGAAATCCACTTTTTGCACTTCAGACCAAGGGAAAAAAGTAAATTGTGAAGAAAAAAAAGTAGTGAACAAATGAATGACAGCTATTTTTGGGTGTACACAACAACGAATGAGACGAGCAGAAAAAACAAGAGAAGAAAAAAAAGCTGCAAACATTTTGTTTCAAAAACCAGTTGACATTCTTAATAAATTAAAAAGAAAAGCGATTACCAACAATAATAATTTCATGTGAGTGTGTGCCTGTGTGCACGATGGAACGGCACCGAATCCGTGAGAAAATATGAGCAAAAGGCTGAACGCCAGTGTAAATTGAGACAGATTAAAAACCCATCCGAAAAGACACAGTGCTCTCAACAACGGCAACGAAGCAAAAACGGATGAGACGACGATTTTCGATTCATATTTCGGTGCTCAAAAAGGATGTTGTGTGCACAAGAAACAAAAGCGATGCCTAACAATTGAAAGACGCCGAATGAAAAAAAGGGGGAAAACACTTGAACATACAACGGGCACACAGAATGCATTCACTTCAATCGGTTGTTCACCGAAATACAAAAACGTATCGACAATGGAATTCGGTTGTGTGTTTGCGCGATCGCTTTTGCTTTCGTCGCAGGAAAAATACGACGACGACGACAAAAACAACAACACTGTTAATTAGACGTAATTAAGTAGTTATAATACGAAGGAGAAAAAAACCAGCGAAGAAATTGTTTTGACGGTATCAAAA